CAAGGTACTATTTGTCATCCAATGTTTATTTTTCTGTGGCCGATGTTGTGTGGTACATTGTTGTACTCCAGTTAAAATCCAACTTTTTGTGTTCATAAATCATCTGGATTGTTTGTAAAGGATGGAGGGTCTAAATTTCGGAGTCTGTTGTTAGATTGAACTAGCTGGAGTCTTAAGTTTTAGGTTGATCTTTGATATTTTTGTATGGAGTTTTAATGTTACTGCCACTCTTAGTAGCTTATGATCAGAGTTGCAGAATGCTCCAGGTCTTGCTCTGACATTATTTACTGATGATCTCCATCTTGTTCTTATTAACACGTAATCAATTTGGTTTTAATATTCACCTACTGGGAAGGTCCAAGTAAAAAGATGCCGATAATGGTGTTTGAACATAGTGTTAGTTATTTAAAAACTGTTATTGATTACAAACTGAAGGAGTATTTCCTTTCTCATTTGTGGTGCCCAGTCCAAATTGTCCTATAATGCACCGTAGATTATCATCATTTTTTTGTATTGCCTATCTTAGCATTAAAATCTCCCATTATCATCAATATGTCCTTCTATGGTATTTTTGTAATGATATTTTCAATTTGTGTGTACACTGTGTCCACTTCATCATCCAAAGAAGCCGAATTGGGCATATAAACCTGAATAGTATGAAGTTTTACTGGCCTGGAAGATATTATAATTTTGATTATGCAGTTGTTGATAGGTTCATAGCCTTCCACAAATTTTGTTAGGCATTTGTCAATGACAAAGGCATGTCCATTTTTGGTCATACCTGAAACATATATCGTGTGGTCGATTGTATCAAAATGACCACTCTCTTTCCAATGTGTTTCGGAGATGCCACAAATCAGTATATTCTCTCGATTAAGCTCTCTTTCTATTATGTAGAGCTTTCCAGTCTGTAAAAGTCCTCTGACATTCCAAGTACCTAAGGATAAATTTCTCACTTAGATGTAATTTTAAATTTCTTCCAGATGCATATTTTGCCTGTGGTGACCAGTTGCCTATGTCCACATGCCCAGTAGCCCATTTCATACCAAATGACCTGGAATCAGTTTGGTGCTGGTTGCTGACAAGATCGCCATGCATATCATCATTGCTCATTTTCATCATAATATTCTCATGGGAAAATAATCAGGTGGTTTCCTGTTGTCTGCCTGATCCGTTGATTAAAAGCAGTTTCAAACTTTTAAATTTTCAAATTAAGTTTAAAAGTTTGAAATTTTAACATTCTAATATTAACAAGTTTTCAAAAGTTTGAAAACTTATTAATATTAGAATGATTTAATTAATATAAGAAAAGCTGAAACAATTTTTCTTAGAATTGTGTAGAAAAATATCAATTTGTAAAAAATATGAGCTCTAATAATTTTTACTGTTTATTTGAACATGGCAAACTATCATGACATTTTGAGTTACATGATTTTTCATTTTTCTTGCATTTGGTTGCGCACACACTTACATGAGCATCTTTGGTACCCCAATCTCCTAAAACTGATGTTTTTCTTGCCCACTCTCTATTGTAAGAAATTGTTTGTCACATAGCACAGTTGTGAAGGATGTCCCTCCTTTGTTCTTGAGTGACAGTACTTATTATTTTCAGTAGTTAATATTACTGCCAATGTATTCTATGGATCATCTCTTGCCCTGTCCACATCTGGTATTCTTAGCTTCAAGGTATCTCCTACTTTGGCTACAGCAAACTTCAGCTCTGATATTTTCATTTTTCTCACTTGAGCTTCTAAACCTGCCTTTGCATTTGCTCATTTTTTCTCAACTTCTTCCTTTCTGTTCTTGATTGTGGAAAGATTATCATTTCCATTCTGTACTTTGGTTGACAAATCAGGGATGGTCACATTGGGTTGGTTGAGTGATGGCTATTCATTTTCAATACTTTTTCTGAAATATTTTCATTGGGTCCTTATAATTGACATTGAGTTTGATCTAGTGATTAATTATTTCTCATAGCTCTTCTCTGGTGCAAACATCTGCTACAGCATCATTAGAAAAGGATAGTGTATTCGGCCCAACTTTTAAGGGTGAACTAAACATGGCTTCATAAGGATTACACTTAATGCCTTGAAGAATACAGTGGAACCCCGGTTAATGAACTTAATCCGTTCCGCGACTTCGTTCGTTAACTGAATTGTTCGTTAACCGAAGCAATTTTTCCCATAGAAATTAATGCAAATGCAATCAATCCGTTCTAGTCTCCGAAATTTTTGTCATTTTATTTGTAATATACAGTAATTTTCTTTGATGAAAATGCAGGAAAACGTAGTATCTATCATTACAGCAACAAACATGTAAACTTTGTTTAATAAAATAGCACTGTACATACCTTCGTTTGTTGTAGTTGGTGGCAGAAAAGTGAAGATATACGAACCTTGATGTTTAGAAGGGAAATCCCATCCAAAAAATAACAGGTAGCACTTCATCGGAAGATTCTTCGAATCGAAATCTCTTTCGGTAAAAAACCCACCAGTGGCTAAGTCGTCTTCGTACCTTGAAGACGGGGAGTTCGTTCGTGGGTTCGCACCTCGCTCAGACGGACTGGCAAGGTGGAGTTTTCCGGGATTTCTCCACGTCTGTAACGCCCAAATAGGGACCAGTTTCCCTTAAGAACACCTCCCAGAAGGCATTCTCCCTAGTCAGATTGCCCAAGCGCTGCATTGCCATAACTTAACAAAGAAACAATCTCTCTGTAAGGAACAAGAAATTGATCTAAAGTTGATTGTCTTACTCTTTTAAGCAAAATCTTTCTCAAATCCGATAGCGCATTGTCTTTTTCTATTGCCACTATGACTTTTTTCTTTCTTTGATGCCATATTGATTAAATATATAAATCACAAAACTGAAAAAAGAAGTATAGTACAAACACTCGGAAAAGCAATGCTTAACTCGCGCATGCCTAACACCAACTAAAATTTGACACAAAATACCGTTACGTTCGTTATCCGAATTTTGTTCGTTATCAGAGACAAAATTTTTGCAAAATAAAAGTTCGTTAACCGATTTGGTCGTTAACCAGGACGTTCGTTAACCAGGGTTCCACTGTAGATCATATCACTATGAGCTGCACAAATCTTAATTCCTTGGTGCAGTGCTGGATTTGGTTACTTTCTAACAGTTACTCAACAAGAGTGCATTATTTATCAAATTTATCATCCTAGACCAATGATTATGCATAATGTTCAATAAATTTCATTAATTACAGTCCTATAACACTGTTGATTATTCCATTTTTTATGAATTCCATGTTGTACAAGTCACTTAGATTTTACAAATACGTGGGCCGTTCACAGCCCGGCACACGTATTTGTAAAATATAAGTGACTCGTACAACATGGAATTCATATAAAACGGAATAATCAACAGTGTTATAGGAGGTCGACTGTAAGTACAATTTATCATTTTTACCACTATGAACTGGCAAATAGGCACAATCAGTGGTAAATATGATAAATTTCTTTCTTTCATATATTGTGAATTAATCACTTTTACCATAATATATATATGCACAATTGAAATTTGGAAAAAATATTAGCACATTGTAATATGTTTCCATTTATAATTTTATCTCTCCTCTGATATTTCTCTGATACATAATGCTTGTTGTATTACAATAGACTTGATTATCTAATCTCAATGTGACCAATGAATAATCAAATTAATGAAATTTTTAATAATACAGTAACAAATGAGGGGAGAAAAACTACAAATTTAATGAATTCCATTACAAGTATTAAATCAAATTTATGCATTATTAAATTCAAAGTATAATCCTCTTCATTTCGTATGTGGTAGGATCCAAAACTTTAGGGACTTGGCATATAGTTCCTTGCCTTGAATAGTTTAAAACACTGATACACAACCACCTTCAAAATAATCACATCGGGTTCAATATAATTTTTACAACACTTACAGCAATGCTTTATGAAGCTGTATAAGCCATCTTTTGCAACCACCTGTGATGCTGCTTTTACCTCATTTGTTAAGTCAAAATGACATCAAGGCAATCTCAAGCTGTTTACAATGAATGGGTGACTCACTCAAACACTATATTTTATATCCAAATATATCATTTGGAGTCATCAAATAAGGTAGAAGCAGCATTGCAGAGTTGAGGCAAAAGATGGCTTACAGCAATGCTTCCAGAAGCTATACAAGTGCTGGAAAAAGTATTATTATCCAAGTGATTCTTTTGAAGGTGGTCATTCATGTCAAGTCCCTAAACTTTTGGATCCTACCGTGTTTGTCTCTCAAACAATAAAATTAAGGAGAAAACATCTGAAGACTAAAACAATCACAATATATACAGCAAAAAGACACATCTCTAGCACAAAGCTGTATTTATGGTGTTGTTGCACTTATAAAAAAAATGGGAGAGGAAAAATAGCAAATACTCATAATACAGCATAATACTAAATATCACATTTTATGTCTGTTTGATTAGCCAATGTTTTACTTTATCCAAAGTCAAATAATCAAGACTTGTATTTTTCTTTTTTACTGCAATTTTATTAAACCTGCTTTTTTAATTTATAAACTATCTCATTAGTTGGAGAAAGTAAGAAGATATTTCTGAATAGTTAGTGCTGATTAATTAAATTATGCAAAAATTTAGTAGTTAAATGACAATTTTTTATTTGATACAATAATTTGTTTTTAAGTAAACCTTCTTTGAATTTTAATTTTAGCATTAAATGAAGTTTGATGTTAATTTTTTTCAAATTTAGTTTTAAGAATTTAAATTAACAAATTTGAAACAACATAGAATTTAGAATGTTTTATTGATAAGATCTAATAAATTTATAGTCATATTTAACTATTTGTTTTGAAAATTGAAATCAATTTATAAAAATTGTCAAAGTTTGTTAGATTGTTTTTTTTCTTACTAGATTTATTACTATTAATGATTTATATAATAAAATTTTTTCACATTTATTTATTTAATTTATTTACTTTTTTTAAAAAGAGAAAATACATACCTGTTTTTAACAATCCAGTAATCATCTCCCTCTTCAGAAGTTCCATAACCTACAACTAAAACACCATGATCTAATTCTTCAGAACTGCAATCTGGTTCATCATAAATACCTAAATTAAAAAAATCAGACATTTAACTAAACATCAAATAAGTTAGTCGAGTGCATAAAATGCAAATGAATAAAAAATACCACACTGTTTATAAAAATAAATCAATGAGTAAATAAAATATAAATTTTAGTACTAAAGAGCTTCATAGTATTATATATTTATATAGGCAACATATTAAAATTTGCATTGAATCGTAATTAAAATGTGTAGATTTTTCTAATTAAAATTAAAGTATACAAGATGTTTATAAATCCACTGTACAATTTTAAGCAAATATTAAGCTTTGGACAAATACGTGATAAATGTACAAAATAAATAACTGAACAATCAAAAAATCATAATAAAAGCAAATGAATAATCAATTTGCCTCAAACTGACCAATTTACATTTGGCACCCTGGAAAACCAAGCTTTAGAATACGTCCAAATCAGAATACGTCCTGTTTGGACGAAATAAATTTTGCTCTGTATACGACTTAATTATATGCGCCATCTATCAACAAGTAGCACTATCAGTGTACTACACTAGACTAGACGTTCGCGGTGCTACGGTTTATAACTTAATTTATAAATGGTGAATTTTTCTGCATTAGTTATATTTTTATATCATCTATAAAGTTTGTTTAAAAATTTTACACTATTAGAAATTCAGTTTAATTATTGTAAATCAGAGCAAAAAATGAAACTGCTAATATATAAAGAAGAAAGTTTTTGTTTTTTATATATTTTGACAGTTTGAGCAAGTGCAAAGAAACTTTTCCTCATCCAGGAGGAGGTCAATGACTATTTTTGGTCAAGTTATCTTCATCCTCCACTGTAGCAGGCTCCCTTTTTATCTGACCAGTGAGATGGTGGCATTCAAACAGGAAAATTACTTAATATGAAATTATCAGTGAGCACAAAATCTTTTTAGGGGTTTTCAATGATGCCTAGTTTAAATATTTGGCCTACTTTTTACAAAATTTTAGTTGGCTGATTATCATTTGATGTTCAGTTGTGAATGGTACATTAAGAGTTAACATTAGAAAAAATTTGGATGCCAAATTGTTTTCTCATGCAGGCAGATTAAAGACTCTCTTCTGTTGAAAAACTTCTATTCTTGTCTATCTGATCAATGAAATTGCCCTATTCTGTATCATATGACTATTGCATTCTTAACAAGCACAAAACATGTACAGTGGAACCTCGGTATACGACCTTAATCCGTTCCTGGTGTTTGGACTTATACCGAATAGGACGTATACCAAACCAACCTTTTCCATAAGAAGTAATGTAAAAATGATTAATCCGTTCTCATGTAAAAAAATGGCTGGCTTTAAACACCTCGCTTTCCTGGCTAGTTTCTGCTTGATTTTTCATGAGATCAGCATGTATCCTTTTAACTTTCTCGCAAATAATTTCTTCCGATACACTGTTGCCAGCACACTGTTTTTCAGTTATCCAAAGCAAAAGCAATTTCTCGA